TAATGCTAACGAAGGTAAAAATGCATGAAGAAAGCTAACCTAGTTTTTACGTCATTATCTGTTTGCTCGCAGTGAGTGTGTGTTTGTGCAAGTGTGTGTACAGCGTGTGAGGGGACTGATAAAATATTCCTTCCCTTGGTTGGCCCCGGGGCATTTCAACTGCCCCTGGCTCCTTCCAGTCACTGGCCTGCTCCCTAATTGCCACACACACACACACCCACCCACATACACACACATGCACACACATGCACACACTCGACATTCAGAGCTTCTGTGGCTGGAAACACATGCATAAAGAAAGAGAGAGATAAACACATATACAGACCAATGCACACCCATGCATGCATGCCTTCTTCACACACGAACATGCGCCCCTGCCACCCTGCATTGATTCACCCCCCCCCCCCCCTCCAACTAGTTGCAAAGATGTTGTCATGGCCGATCAGGGGGCCAGGCCCAGAGTTGTGCCTGTGGCTTCTCCTCGTGGGGAGACTGGAGCTTGCTAGCCTAGCTGCCCCACGCTGTATGTATGCAGCCCAGGGTTACAGCCTGCTGACGCTCCTAATGAGCCTGGCAGCCTGTTTATGGAGAGTGACGACTGCTTCATTGGCTGCCTGGCTAGCTTTCTGAGTGACTGGCTAACCGGCTGATTGACAGGCTGCTCTATGGATGGCTGACTGACTTGGTGGCTTTATAGACTGATGCTTACTGGCTGACTTGATAGTTTACTGGCTGACTGAGTGGACTTCAGAGTGGTCAGTGCCTGACTGACTGACTGAAGAGAGTATTGGCTGAATGATGACGTCACTGATTATACTCAACCAGATACCTTTAAAAAACAGCTGCTTACATGTCAGTTTTGTGCCCATTTTAAGCATTGAGATCCACTCTGACTCCACAAAAGAGTACACAATGTTTATATCTGGTCTATTGAGTACACTCAAGAAGCTTTTGCCATCAGCTTTAAGGACAGTAGACACCAGTGGTGTAAACACTGGTACCCATTATTTTTTAAGTAGCCACTTGCGAAGTTTAAATGGCATGTGGCAACTCTCCAGAAAATCTCAAAAAAACTCCACCGATTGTTAGATAGCAGCAACTTTAAATCTTCTGTCTATATGGCAAATGTATTTTGTGCTACAGGCGTCAATTATTCAATTGGTTGTCCTTTTCTCTGTGTTATAAAATGTCAGCTTCAGAGGCCAAGACAGAGAAAATGATCTGCTTGTCCTTACTGACTGTCCTGCGTATTATTTTTTTCAATTGATTAACTCCAATGTGCCTCAGAGCATCTCCTCCATCTCCTATCCATTATTTTCTCCTACTTCAGTGGCTTTAGTTTTATCATTTCTTTCATTTTCCTGCTCTCACTAAATATTCCACATCCGTTCCTCCTCTCCTTCTCTTCTTACCGTTCTTCCCTCTCTCTCACAAGCTGAGGTAACACCATTGACATTTCCCCAACATGGCTGCCAGACACAGCTTCAACACCTTCCCTTTCTTCACCCTTTCTCTTTTCTCTCTCCCCCCGCCCTCTCCCTATTCCCTCGCTTGCTGGAGTTAAAGCAAAGCAGAAATTAGCCCCAGACCTTGCAGAGGTGATTGGTATCAAATTGCAGTGAAAATGGAAATGCCAATAAAATTGACGGCCCTTCTCCAGCCCTCCTCCTTCCTTTTCCCCTCCAAGGTAAAGTGAGTGTCTTTAGGTCAGACTTTCTCAGAAGTATCGGGAAAGGAGAGGGATACTCAGAGCTTTTAGGGTTTCCCTGTCTGGCTTAGGGCTTGGATTATGCATGATTTAAATGGTCAGACTTTGCCTGAAATCTTTTAAATCGCAGACAGCTCAATGGCGGCTTTCTTATTTTTATTTTTTCTCATATGAGTTGAGGAGATTTTATGTTTGTTGGATATAAACACCAGTAATCTTTCTGTGTTTTTTCCCAAGGCTCATGAGATTGTAGAGATTTAATGCAAACGACTTCTCTCACATTATGCATCATTTTGATATTTAATTCATTATTGATTAGCTATGGTTATTTAATATGCTGTAGGGTCATGAATAAGAATCCTGTATCCTTGTATCTTACATACCATTTAATCCAGCATATATCAACAGATATGATGTATTACTGTGATCATAAAGTACAGTATGATATTATACTATATTGGGCTGTGGTTGCCGAGCAAGCTTGTGACTGCAGGTTTGATTACCAGACTGGAAAGAACACCTGGAAATAGAGCATTGTACTTACTTGTAGAATACCATAATACAAGAAATAAAAACATATGCAGCAATAGTGCTACTTTATACAATATTAGGAAGAAGCCATATGCAGGCAACACACCCAGAATCACTTTCTCGTGCAGTTTTCTCTCAGCATCCACACTTTTCTGACTTACTCTGCTCTGTCTGACTCCTTTGTGTTTTCCCTCTCCCTTGTTTCCTCTTCTCCCTTTCCCCTTCTCTCCATGCTTCTCACGATTTCTCACCTCTCCCTGAGCTTGCCTGCTCGCCCACTCTCTCCTACTAGCTGTCTTGCATGCATACTTCCTCACGCTCTCACTCATTCCCTCACTCTCTCATTCACTCACTCACTCCCTCATGCTATGAGCTGGCACTCCGGCCGTTTGCTTCTGTTTCCCCAACTCACATGGGACAAGCCCCTAGGTTTGTTATTGTAGGCTTTGCTGAACATGAGCCGGTCTTTACAACGGATTGAAAGCATTTGCTTCCAATGAAAATCTGGTCTTAGATTACAGGGCCTCGGCTCTGCTCACCCTGCTTCTCCAACAGGCGGAGAGGAAAAGAGAGGACGGAGGGGAGGGTGTATATTAGCCCTGAAACAGTAGGCAGAAGTAAGCCACTTGTTAAGCTCAGGCTGCGTTTGTCCTAGGCTAATGATGTAACTGAAGCCTGCAATGTGAGTGTGTTTTTAGACAGAGAGAGGTCTAGAAGCGGGGTGTAAGGGAGTACATTGTCCTGAGTGTTTTTGGGCGTCAAATTGCTGGATTAGTAAAATGACAACAACTATTGATTATTGTTTATAAAGACAAAATGTAAAAGATTCCCTAGTCAGCATTTTTAAATGTAAGGCTTTGCCGTTTTTCTCTGTTTAACAACCTTGCAAATGGAATATCTTCTGGGTGTTGGACTTTTTTTTTTCTTCTCACATTTGAAAATGCTAAACAATCAATTAATCTGACAAATTAATGACCAGATTATCCAGTGGTTTACAGTAAAGACACAGAGATTACTGACTGATTGATATTGCCTGAAACCAACTTTTGACCTCTTGGTGGTGTTACAGTTCCCCAACTCTACCAGCAAAAGTACATGCATGCGGGCATAATTGATGCGCAGTGGGTGGTGTTTGAATCAGTATCCATGAAAATCAAGTGCTTTATTTTATCCCTCCCCCACCCTCCATGGCGTCACCTCCGCTTCTACCAGAGCTTCATTAAAAAGCCTTCAATATGTGTGCATATGTATCTCCTTCTGCCAGAACAGTCGGCGAGAGAGAGCGAGAGCTAGCCAAGTGTTGTTTCGTATGGATCGTTGCGAGCCTCTCTCTCCTAATGGTGTATATAATTCAGGTGCCCTCCAGGCATGCTTTCAGGAATTCTTTTGCCCGAGGTAATGGGGAGCAAAGGCCTGGGTTTTAGACCCTTGATTATTCCATTGATGTGGCAGGCTGGAAAAAAGTCATCTCCAACCAGATTAGTGCCAACATCCCCATTAATTATCGATGAATCGGGGGCTTAGGGTTTAGCTAGGTGCTGGGTGTCGCCCTGTGCAAGTTAGCGGAGCGCGGGCTTGCTCAAATGCAGTTATCTACTCCCGTTGCAGTGAATAGACCAAGAAGCTTTAGAAGTGCTTTGTGTGTAATCAATAAATAACTGGATCCAATTCTGTGCACTGCTTCAGCATTTTCTTCCCCTTCCCCTCACTTCCAGTCGAAAGACGCATACAAAAGTCAGTTATCAGCTGCTGAAATTTCTGGCAGTGAGGGTGCACTTGTTTACCTCCGCCTCATGTTTCTTTTATGATTATCGTCTTCATTGAGGGTGGCTCGCATTTTTGAATAATGATAATAACAATTAGGCTTTTCACAGCCACAGATGGGAAGAGCCTCTGGAGCTGTATAGAATTCGTACAGTAATTGGGTAGTTTTGAATATGTGCAGTGTGTGTGTGTGTGTGTGTGTGTGTGTGTGTGTGTGTTTGAGTTCATGTTGTTGAGTCTGAATGCAGAGAAAAGGCCCATGGAGCGTCTTCTTTTCACTTTTCCTCTCAGTGCTCGAATGCTCTAAGCTGTCTCAGTGTTCCCCTAAGGTGAGGTTAACTGCCCTTAATAGAGCCTTATCGAAGCCCTACAGGTTGCTGTAAGCAGCCATGACGCCATTGTTATGAAAAGCAGCTAGCTTTGTTAGCGCTGTTTGTGCCTCTTACTTCCCTTTTTCCACATATTTTCCTTTTATTTCCCGCCTTCCCCCTCCTCACAACCTCCCCTTTTGTAGTGCCGTGTTACTCTTTCCACCTCAGGTAAAATGGCAGAATGCGCGGGGGCGACGCTTCAATAACTATTTTCCCCTCAGGATAATAAAGACTAAATCTCTCTGTCATTTTCAATTCTGCGCAGGCTTGGATGGGAGAGTGGGGAAATGCGACCTTACAAGTCCTTTGTGCTCCCCTTCTCCCTCTCATTCTTGCAAAAAAGATGCAGAGCGCTTGCTGTGTTTTCAAGAGGAGGGGGGTGACAAATGAAAGGCAGGGTTATTTATAAATGTATTAAAAATGAATGCATTTATGAGGTGCTGTTTTCCAGCCATTCTTTGCTTGCCATTGTTGTGTCTCTATACCCCTCCGTCTGTGCATACAAAGCCCTCCAGAATTCCTTCGAAATCGTATTTATTCCCTTTGAACGCAGAGGCGCATCCAGTGCAGGAAGTAAACAAACTGTGTGTCTGATCTGTCTCTTCCTGTTTCTTGTCATGTGACAGGTGATGGCATGGACAACAGCATGGCCTCGCCGAGCACAGGGGATGACGATGACCCGGATAAAGAGAAGAAGCGCAACAAGAAGAGAGGGATCTTCCCTAAGGTGGCCACCAACATTATGAGAGCATGGCTCTTTCAGCACCTTACAGTGAGTTGAATGAAACACCATTTGTTCTCAGTTGCTCTCAGTTTTCATTTCACGTGTGCACATTGAACTTCACCCACAGGCTTTTTCTTGCTCTTATTCACACATTTTCTATCTTTCTGGTTCTGCTCCTGTCTTATTTGATATACTTGCACTCAAAGGAACATGTACACGCACACACCCACGGACACACTCATTGACGCTAACACCACCGGAGCCCCTCTCTCCTCCGCCATGTATTTCAGTTCGTACGGTGAACTCTTCAAAGACACAGGCCTGTAATCTGCTGGCGATCTCAGCAGCCTGCTCATCTGCTCAAACTGAATAAGGTTTAACCAAGGAGAGACGCCCGCGGCCATAACTGCAGATACATAGATGAACCTTATTAAGAACAAATCTGTCATTATTTAACAGATGCCTGGGATGCTGTAAAAGCTCGTGGTTTGGCTTTATATTTACTCAATTAAAGCGGGTAATGTGAAAACCGTTAACAGCTGACAAATTGCTCATGAAGAAATAGTGTGGGAAAAATATATTTTGATGCTGAAATACAGCAATGTGACTGTGTTAAATGAGCAAACAGTCAATTTAATTCTCTCTCCACAAAGTTGCTGAGGCTGGGGGAAACAATTTTGCTGTTTGATTATGGATATTGCATGGGCTTCTTTATTTGTAGATTCATATCATTGATGTTAATGGTATGCATTGCACATTTAACAGTGCTAATGCATATTGGAGGAACTTCTTTCATTGCGTACACTGTAGTGTGGCATTTGGCCGAGACATATAGTGTATATCTATGCACAGAATATATACACACACATCTCACAAGGCTTCTTATACTTTTTGTTTCTCTTTGTGCTATCCCCTTTCCATCGGACCCTCACCACCTCCTTTATAAACCACCGGCTCTCCATCACACACATAACACACACATCATCACACATACTCACTAACCTCTCCTCCAACTCCCTGACCTCAACCCATACACCTTCGGGGCTACAGAGGAAAGGTGTTTGAAACATACACACATCCTGTCTGTGGAAATAGAATTCAGCACACACTCGGCAAGTGAAACACACACACAGCAACACATGCACTGTGTCATATTACACCATGAGGGAGGCTTCTTAGATCTCAAACAGGGGATAAAGAAGAGGACGATGAGGACGATCCATCATCTTTTTTTACCTGGAAAAAATAAGAAGTTGACCACAATGGCACATATGTTATATTGCTTTATGGCAGAACACAGGAGGAAGCTCACAGTGACGTCACAGTGAAACATTTCAGGAAGTCGTTGGTGGAAAAAATCACTTCAAATGTGTCTACCCTCTTCAGTAAAGCTGAAAAAGAAATGAAATCCAGCCGGACAGGAGCACCGTCCTGATTGTTTATGGGAAATGTGGTCTTCATTTTGAGAAACACTAGCATTAACAATACCGCTGGTGTCAGATGGTCTTATATGTTTACACTTATCATTCTTGTTGTCACCATTAATCTAATCACCAGATATCTGTGTTTATAAATGCTACACATAGCACCCCTCGTGCAAAAACATTTACAGTATCTCTTGCACTGGCAGTATGTTTCTGCTGGTACAAACATAAACACAGACATCTGATCCAGGCTCATCCATCAGCTGGCCTGCCTTTGTTTCACAGAAGGATGGAGGATGAGTCTGGCCTCTCAGAGATAGACACAATGCCAATTAGGGACACACAGACACATGCATACACACACTAATTCATCGTGAGTGCTGTGGCTAAACGCAAACCTGAATACAGGAGCTGTTGTTTCTCAAGTATAAAAGATATGCAGGATTTGACAGTAGAGAGACGATGGAGCAGAATTGGGTAGAAGTTTGGATACCCACCTTGATGGTTTCTTTTGTTATTCGCCCTCACATTTGGACCCTCAGGGGACTTCTCATTGTACCGAAGCGGAAGGGGAAGGTGGGTGGCTTCATACGGTTGTTTTTTAGGGTTGCTTTGAAGACATTTCTGCATCTCGCTTATCCATCAAGAATGCTAATTTCCAAAGGCATGCTATAGACGAAAAAGGATATTATTTAAAGCAGCTATGTTTGTTATGAGCATGGACACCAACAGTAGTACATGTTGTATTACCTAGATTCCTCGAATCAACACTGGCAGGGTCAAAACCACAGTACATGAAATATGCTTCTCTCTGTGGTGTGATGTGTGCAGTGACAGATAGAGCAATGGTATTGAATTTGTGAGGATGACGACAGTCGCAGCACGCCGTGTTCCCTCCAACACGCCCAATGAGCTCATGTGTTGTCGACAGCACTTGTGGTGTTCATCATGGGAAGAATTTGGCTGCTCTGACTGGGAGCGACTAAAACGTTAGTATTAACCTCCTGTCACCGATGGCTCGACATGCAGCTGTAAACTTGGTAGGGAACCAAATAAAGCTCAGGGGGGGGCTTTTCCACTTTTATACTCATCACATTTCAGTCATAATTGAGATTCTTCATTAAAACATTTGTTATGATAATCATTTTGGGACCGAATGGCGCATTTGACAAGATAAATCTGCAAAGAATCCTTGATCCAATTGATAAACTCACCTATATATGTGCTTCTATGAGAATCTCTTTGAATAGTAGATATTGTTCCATAGTGTGCAAATTATTTCTTCCCTCATAAATAACAAAAGAGAAGATATTTAATGAATTGTTGAATAATTTTTAAACTGATAGCATAACGGGCTGAGCTGCCTTGCTTTGTGTTACAACCAAAGAGACAAGCATTGAGATGAACCAATAGCTTTTACCCAATCTCTATTTCCTTCATCCTTTCTATTGTGCAGTTGAAATCCACCTCACCCCTACTCACCTGCCCCTCCCTCCTCACAAATGGTATTTTCTTGTTTAATTTAACAAGAAATGAGTAGTAAATGAAGGCTCAGGCCTCAAATCCCCAACGCGCCCTGTGCTCTGCTCTCCACTCCCCTATGAAAAGGCAATTTGTGAAATTATGTGATAGAGTAATTAGATGGAATTCACCCCCGCCTCCCCACTACACACACCACTCGTATCCCCCTTTAGATTGTTGCCTTGCTAAACTGAAGTAGGTGTGTGTGTGTGTGTGTGTAGGGCAGGGGGTTTTGGCATTCAGAGTGTTAGCATCGCTATATTAGCCTGGCAGACTGATACACACACACTCTCATACACATTATCACTAACACTCTCATTCTGGCTCTCCTCCCCTCCTATTTGTACACAGACTCAGTGTAACGAGGGGCAGCCGTGATCGCAGCTCGTAAAAGAAGCCAACCCGCAAACCCTCAATGAGCTGAGCTTTTTTCTTTCTCCTCCTCCTTTCTCCTCTTAAAACGTGCAAAATGCACAGAGAGAGAGAGTATAAAAAAATCCAACTGGAAGGCATAATCCCCCGTTAATACAATTAGAGTCTAATTTAACCGCTCGTGTACGCAGATGTAGCCGAGCTGGGGAGCTCAGTTACCCCCCTTGGAAATGTTTTTCCTTTTTTTTTTTAAACACAGCAGCGTGCAGCAGGCTTTTGAGCAGAAACAGGTGTGAAAAGCAATATAATTCATTTCTGCGCTGGCAGAGGAGGGCAGGAGCCTCGATGTCGTGGGCCTTGTTTGGTGGAGGAATCCAGGCTGGGGGGGGGGGGGGGGGGGGGATTTGACAGGAGGTGAAAGATGGATGGATGAATGAGTGGATGGATGGATAGGTGCAATAATCGTTATAGGCAATATTTGTGTTCCTCCTAATGGTCTTAATGGTTTTGGGTGGAGTGTAACAAAACATAGAAGAACAGGTCAAAGGACACTCAACTTTTTAGTCAAGATTTTAGTGGAAAATGTGCATTTTATTTCTGATTTTAGTTGCACTTCCAAGGAAATGAGCATCATAAATGTTTTGTATGGTTAAGTCAAGTGTTGTTATAATGGTCATACAGTGACTCACTAATGTGTTTGGTCTGTTGTGAGTAAAGAAATGATATTCAATATAAAATTCAACACTTTGTTACTGCAGCGTGGTGTAAAGTCGAGACCTATCACTTCTCAGCTATAGGAACACAAACCAGATATGTAGAGCCTCGTCTAAACAGCAGAAGTGAGGGGAGAAAAAAAACGTTGGAGGTCAGAGTTCGCCATTGCCTCAGATGCCATTAGTCTTCGCCTGTTTATTGCTGGAGCCTGGACATGTCAGCACCCTGGTCACCCGCGGCAACCCTGACCCACCCGGCAACATTGGCTCGCAACGGCAACCCAGGTCTGGAAGAAGGATGTTATCCTACTGGTGAAACCAAATGTGTTCACTTAAAGTTGTCCCTGTTCTTAATAATAATCTTTAATTTAATTTGCAAGAAAAAAGAGATATGACAACAATGGTACATGTTTATAATTACGGTCTTCCTGTAATTATTGTAAGACTTGTTGTCTTAGTTATCGACTGGAAAACTTAAATGTCCTCATGACAACTTATTTCCATTTCCTCATTAGTGTCTATGAAAAGACAAAAGGAAGCTAGCTTTAAAGGAGAAAATCAGCTGACTAAGTGTTTTCATTCATTTATTCATCAACGGCAACAAAGGCACGATGTCCGTCTTGATACTGTAAAGTAATACAGTGGCCTATGTGGCCTGGCGTCTCCGATTAGCTCTTAATTTAATCTAAGTGGCAGCAGAATCTTAGGCGCCACCGCATTAGTATTTCAAAGAGGTCTTAAGAGACGACAGACATACGGACAGATCTGCCAAAGGCCTGGCGTGACACTGTGATGAGACAGAGAGGCGGAGCAAAAACAAGAGAACAAGTTAGTCTTATTCTCAGCATTTTATTATTCGGTTTCAGATTTATCACCGGGAATGAAAATGTCTTTGGGCTCTGTCTCTCTGTGTGTGTGTGTGTTTTATCTTAAAGGGCTAGTGTTTGGGTAAATGTGTTTGTGTGACTTCTTTAGTGCATGGGTGCCACTAGAAGTGTGTGTCGTTAAGTTTGTACGA